AAACACTGCACACAGCACTGTATGTAGCTTCATATTATTCTGCTTTCTTGTAATGTTTAGTTGGGATTTGTAGCCCTCTATTGCTGGTGATATTCTGCATTGCTGTATAATGTATTGCTGGGATTTGTAGTCCCTCTACAGCTCGGAGTCAGTGGCAGAACTACCAGGGTCACAGCAGTTGCAGACCTGGCTCTGGTGCTCCACCACAGTCCTAAAATCATTAGTCTGTATTGTTTTAGAAAAATGTCACACAACGCTAAAAAAATGTAATCTGTATTTGGTATCGGCGAGTACTTGAGGAAAAAGTATCGGTCCTTGTACTCGGTCTGGAAAAAATGGTATTGGTGAATCCCTAGTATAGATTTGAAACCCACCACTGTCCATTTTATCAAAGGCGCAGGTTCCATGGCTGTTATTCCTCATCATTGTTTCACTACTAAGTGATTACTTAAACATGGCTGCAGAACAGATGTTCAGGCTTCAACTACTGCAGATAGTGAAGCCCAGATCAGGATTTCAGCCCTGCTGTTTTAAAAAGGCAAGCGTGGCAGCCATATAACCATTCTCAGATCCCCTTCAAAAGTCACTGCCACATATTAAAAGGAGAACTATGGGATGAGTGATTTCCACTCACCTCATAGTTCTAGCCGACCTGTGACAATGAGACTGTCACAGGTCGGCTCAGTAGATCGGGAGGTGAGCGAACACATACCAGGTTCGCTCACCTTCCGATCCTGTCACGGCAGAGCGGGAGGGGCTGGATTCCCCTCTCCCATCTGCCAGCGCTGACTGGCGGAACGGACGGGGGAGGGGGCGGGTACAGCTGGCTCTGACTCTAGATAGGCAGAGCCAGCTGTCACTCACGCAGCTGGGCGGATCCCGTCATCTACGTCGGGATCCGCTCCGGCTGCCGCGCCTCAGTATACCGCGAGCTGTAGCTCGCGGTATACTGAGCTTAGGGTAACGGGAGGACTTTTCAAAGAGGACCATGGACCAGAACTTTCACTGTCATTTCACAATTTAGGTTGAACTATAATTTGGCTGCAATTTTCTTTCATGATTATTCTTCCTTCCTACAGCTCTCAGTACAGAGCTACAGGCCAATTGCGACACCGAGAAGCAGCTCATTGATGGGGAATGACTAAAAATGCTGATGGAATTGTCCCAAGGGGTGGAATGCTGGAGTAGACCACAGAACAAGAATTTCATAGAGATGACCATGATCAGATGTAACATAAGCCAAGCTATAATGGACAAAAACTGGACACAATATGCCGACTGTTGGTTTGGTAATCGATTTAATAAAAAATATTTCAGTAGCATAAACACAGTGCAAGAAAATGATTAGTTATAAAAACATTAAATATAGTGCAAAGCCAGTGTGCAAAATGCAAAGTTTTATTGTTAAAGAAGAATAAATATAACCAATGAGACACAATCATTTCCTGTCCTTGTAAGAGGGAGAGCAGTATGCATACAGTCCTGGTGGGGACACCCTGAAAAATGCTTGCATGGAGTAAGGCTGTTAGGACATGCTGTGGATTGGGAGAGGATTTCTGTTGGGTGCTATAAGCTGGTTTTTAACTCTTGTTTTCTTTTATTTCAATGATTGAAATAGACTTTACTTGCTGCCACGAAACCAGCTATATGCAAAAAGAGACCACACGCATCATTTAATAAAAATGTAGCAGAAGTCCTGAGATAATGTCCTTGTCCTGCTCCAGAATCACATGGGGGAAGGTCACATGACCAAATGCCTAAGCAACTTGTTGATTTTCACCTTCAGCTAAGATCACATGCCCAGAGTTCAAATGGCCAAATACTGACATAGGCATTTCTGATGACATGGAATCCCGCAGTGTTTTTCCAAAAGCCAAGACTGGTAATTCAGGACTTCTGCTATCTTTTATACATTTACAATGAGAGTGAGAGGTCATATTTTAATTATAGGTTTCTTCTTTCAATACTTAAGCATAAAACATAGGTGGTTGTTCCTTCTTTAACATCCTGACCATTTGCATGGTTCAGAGTTTTCTTCAACACTGAAGACTAGAACCGTGTCCAACTGTAGCTGCAATATCAGTATTAGGTGAACTTAGCAGGTTAGTTTAGGACATGGTGCATTGTGAATTGTGAATTGTTTAAAGCCAATTATCTAAGACAACCCCATCAACCCAAAAGTTTATTGAAACATGTAAAGCTCTCTAGCTACAGAGAATTTCAAACTTTGCATTTTGCACACAAAAAAAACACTATAAACACAATGACATTCCCTTGCTTATTGCACATGATTCTTGTGCAGTGCATTATATAAGCGAGTTGTGCAAACCCCAAACCATGGATTGAAGGATTCTACATCTGTTTATTTCAACACCCAATACCAATGAAATCACTTACTGATCTGTGCTATCAATAAATATAAAAACAACAACATTTAAAAACTGTATTTAACAACTATCTTACATTTTTTGACACAATGGCTGGAAGAGCCATTATACACAATAAAAACGCATACATTAAAGACAAATCAAAAGGGTGCAACCTGCAGTCATGAAAGTGATGAACTCCAAGTCTCAAGATGCATTGTGGCTTGCAGCTTCTTAACCGTCAGAAGGCTGCAGGTTGTCTATATCTGATAAAGACATGTTTCATTTTAGAATAAAAAGATGATTAACCATCTTAAAAAACTACCTGTCCAATAGATTTAAAGCAGACCCCCCACCCTCTGTCAAGTTTTGCTTTTCTTGCAGAGTGCCTCAGTGAACTGTACAAACATTCCTCAGGAAAGTCAACTAGATAATGGCGGGCATAGAAAAAAAAAATAAAAGACCATAAAAAGAAGAGAGATATGCAATGCCCTTTAACCAAAAAAGTAGACAGAGTACCGTAGTAGAGTTCTGTCTGTGAAGATTTCTCATTCATCCAGGTCATGGTATATCTGTAAAAAATAAGTCAAGGCAACTGGACTTGCTGTATTTTTCTTGAAGACGTTTCACTGGTCATCCAACCAGCTTTAAATGATAATAACTAGAAACAACTTCAGCTATTATTTTGTATAGAGGAAATGTGGGTGCCTCAACAAATCCACCCTTTCCAAAGTGGGCCATTCAGGTGAAAAATTAAGCTGACCATCAAGTACCTTCTTACCTGACTATCAGCCTCAAGATGACTCGCCCGTCTTCTGATGTCTCGGGTGTTATGTCCAATTGAACTACCAATAGACCTTCTGGGAAGTTCAGTTGGGCGAGTCAAGCTTCCGCAACCTCTGTCCAGGGGCTGCCATATTTATAAAAAATGAACCTAATGAACTTTGTTGTAGGGATGTGCAGTTTAGCGGTCTTGGCTGTGACATCAAGCAGAAAGATGGCCCATGCCATGACAGGACTTGTGTGAGCCTGATCAATGCACAACCAAGCATGCCACCTCTTTACAACAGTTAAAACATAACTTGAGAACTTTAAACAAGACAAAACCTTTTTTTTAGATCTGGATAGAGTAGGGAAGGACGAAGACTCCTGTTCTGTAATTTGGCTGTCGGTGTCCCATTGGGTAGATTTCTCTTTGCTTCCTGAAGACAAAGCAAGAGGAGGAAACCACGATAAAGTGAGGTAAATCCCCTTTCAGATACTTGTTGCAAGAACAAGATTCTCCACTAGAAGGAAGGAATATTCCCCTCTGTTTGTGGTGACAACTCATATTTTAGATTCCCCATCACTTTCTGTTTCATTGACAATGGTTAACAGGACCACCAGCTAGGGTAAAACTCCCTAGCGAGCACTTAGCAAAAAAAGGATGTTCTAACCCTTCCACAGTCTATCCAAAACTAAAAAAAAAAAAGTTAAAATATATGATTTTACATACACGTTAAGCCTTGTTCCAGCCTGCAGAATCCCCCAGAGCTGACCAACCATATACATATATGGACCTTATCATGCCCTATTTGCTGATCCCCACCTCTTTGGGGTCGCACTGATTCATCAGCCAATTACAGGATCGTCATGAACACCCATCTGACATGATCCCATAATACTCCTGGGGAAAAATATTATACAACAATATTATACACCACAAACATCAAGTGATAAAAAAACAAAAACAACACCCACAAAGGCAGGTAAAGAAAGGCAGTTAAAAAAGGGTCTCCTAACAAATGTCCATCTCTGGTGGGTGCATATTCTGAGAGAGTGCTCAAATAGAATAAAAAAAAAACCTTAAAAAATCCTGCCTGAGTGTTGCCAAAACCCTATGTGCAAATATAGGCTTATTGTTTTACCTGGAAAATCCGTTTCTTAAAGTACATTATGGTACACATGATCGCAATCTGAAACACTGGATTATACTGCTACTTTGGAGACCGGACAATGGCAAAGCTGTAAAAGACAGCCCAGTAAAACCCCTCCTGCTCCCAGCATGCCTCAGTTTTGTAGCAAGCAATGAAGGCGTGAGACATAAAAACAAAGGGGAGGGACTTGTGTTCCGTAATGTACTCCAAGAAAAGAGTTTTACAGGCAAGATAAAAATCCAATTCTCTTAGTCGGAAATTACGGAACGCAGGATAATAATCTGGAATATTAGGGACATCCAAAAACAGTCCGATAGAGGGTGGAAAACAGCAAACAAAATCTAATGGGTTACCAGGACAAAAATCAACAGGGTGGAAGTCCACCAGTCCGTGTGGAGATGTTGGCATGCTTGACAACATGAAGCGGGATGGAGACAGATACTAAAATTCTAGTTTGTAGTCCCCCAAAGATAAAGTCCTGGGCCGAAGTGTCTGAACTTTGGGATGTCCCCTCATTATGAGTGAGGGTGCCCATGCTGAACCCCGGCAAACAACATAAGGGCCAGATTTAAAATAAAACAAAAATTTAAAAACTGGCTCTGCAGAATCTTGCTAGAAGAAAGAAATATCTTGATTAAAAGTGAAAAGGTTTTTCATAGAAGAGAAGATGTCGGTTTTCCAAAGGACACTGAGGCATGCTGGGAGTGGGAGGGTTATACTGGGCGGTCCTTACAGCTTTGCTAGAAACCAATTACCTGTAGGCGGTAGTAATGTCAATATTCCAGATTACTATCCTGTGTCTCCTAATGTACTACTAAGAAAACAAAAATACAGGCAGTACATCGAAGAATTAAAAAAAAAAAGCTCTAAGAATAATCAATCATGGACTCCATCTGATCTTCTGCTCTTCGATAGCGTATAGATGAGAAGAAGAGAGGATGTCGCCTTTTGTAGAGGTAGATGACAAGTCCAATGATAAGGGCTAGGATGATGAATATCGCAAAACCAACTGCAACTCCTACTCCAGTAGACTCTGGAAGGGGGGAAAAAAATAAATCACACTTAAGGAATAACCCAGGCTTTATACTATAGTTATACACACACAAGTAATTATCCAATTGGGTTCAGTTTCAGAAAAACAAATGACTCAAATTGCAAGTTAACCGAGCTTTTAAAGTAGACCGTTGTCACTGGAACAGGAATAGAGGGGTAATCTTGAAATGGGGACACCTATTCCAGTGACAACTGTCTAAGAGGGGATTTCTCAACATTTTACAGCGATTTCCTCTCACTTCCTGTTCTGTCATCATGACAGGAGGGAAAGGCAGAAAAATAAAAACATGAAAAAGGAGATTTAAGGAATCCATACTCTGTCCAAAAATATATATTAAAAAAGAAAACAATAGCACGTCTTCACTCATATTTCTCCTCCCCATTGTATCACAGGGGAGATTAATAAGAGTTGTTAGCATGTTACAGGGGAGGGGTTTAGCAGACAATTTCAAGAGTCGGTCCCTGGATTACACATGAACCCTAGAGCCCGAACAATGTATTTGGCAATTACAGTTCACAGAGGTGATTCCTGTAATGGATTATAAAATGCTGATTTAATTAGACTGGAGTTCTATCAAGATGGGGGGAAAAAAAAATAGCACAAACAAAAAACAGTCATTCAAAAATGTAAATGAATGCCCCCTCTAGCACATGCTCCATATATACATGGACAAATGAACCCGTGTGTACTGGCCGGTGAAAACAAACATCTTCACCGTTTAGCTAGGCTTAAATCGTGTCCTAGTGGTGCTGGGTCGGTTAAATTGTGTCCTAGTGGTGCTGGGTCGGTTAAATCGTGTCCTAGTGGTGCTGGGTCGGTTAAATCGTGCCCTAGTGGTTCTGGGTTGGTTAAATTGTGTCCTAGTGGTGCTGGGTCGGTTAAATCGTGTCCTATTAGTGCTGGGTTGGTTAAATCATGTCCTAGTGGTGCTTGGTTGGTTAAATCATGTCCTAGTGGTGCTTGGTTGGTTAAATCATGTCCTAGTGGTGCTTGGTTGGTTAAATCGTGTCCTAGTGGTGCTGGGTCGGTTAAATCGTGTCCTAGTGGTACTGGGTTGGTGGCAGATCTCAAAGACAGTAGGGAAGACATGGTCAAAAATGTAAATTTGCTCCGCTGTACCAAACATGTAAACAGCCATTTTGGTATAAAAGTGTCTTTACCTGATCCAATATTAGTAAACCTAGATCAGAGTAATTGCTTTCAGTTATTGCTCTTTGGGCACCATCCCTACTCTCTGCACTTCCTTAAATTCCTTAGATTAAGCCCCCCTCTCCCCCCTCATATACTGTTAACATTTCCTTAGAAAATTGAAAATGATGGTTTGTGGAAAATTAATTTGAGTTCCTAACTGTTGACAGGAATAAATCAATGCTCATTATCAATTGCAGAGAGTCGAAAAATTAAACTGAAGGAGAAGGGTGGAAAATATTTATCAATTTCTAACATTGTACGCGGTATCCAGTTGGGAAACAAGTTATTGTAATTCAAATGTACATGAAAAATGGCAAAGTCCAACTTTCAAGGCCACGAACATTAAAGCAGAACTCCCGAGAAATGATTCTTAACCAAAAAGAAAACAATAGCACGTCTTCACTCATATTTCTCCTCCCCATTGTATCACAGGGGAGATTAATAAGAGTTGTTAGCATGTTACAGGGGAGGGGTTTAGCAGACAATTTCAAGAGTCGGTCCCTGGATTACACATGAACCCTAGAGCCCGAACAATGTATTTGGCAATTACAGTTCACAGAGGTGATTCCTGTAATGGATTATAAAATGCTGATTTAATTAGACTGGAGTTCTATCAAGATGGGGGGAAAAAAAAATAGCACAAACAAAAAACAGTCATTCAAAAATGTAAATGAATGCCCCCTCTAGCACATGCTCCATATATACATGGACAAATGAACCCGTGTGTACTGGCCGGTGAAAACAAACATCTTCACCGTTTAGCTAGGCTTAAATCGTGTCCTAGTGGTGCTGGGTCGGTTAAATTGTGTCCTAGTGGTGCTGGGTCGGTTAAATCGTGTCCTAGTGGTGCTGGGTCGGTTAAATCGTGCCCTAGTGGTTCTGGGTTGGTTAAATTGTGTCCTAGTGGTGCTGGGTCGGTTAAATCGTGTCCTATTAGTGCTGGGTTGGTTAAATCATGTCCTAGTGGTGCTTGGTTGGTTAAATCATGTCCTAGTGGTGCTTGGTTGGTTAAATCATGTCCTAGTGGTGCTTGGTTGGTTAAATCGTGTCCTAGTGGTGCTGGGTCGGTTAAATCGTGTCCTAGTGGTACTGGGTTGGTGGCAGATCTCAAAGACAGTAGGGAAGACATGGTCAAAAATGTAAATTTGCTCCGCTGTACCAAACATGTAAACAGCCATTTTGGTATAAAAGTGTCTTTACCTGATCCAATATTAGTAAACCTAGATCAGAGTAATTGCTTTCAGTTATTGCTCTTTGGGCACCATCCCTACTCTCTGCACTTCCTTAAATTCCTTAGATTAAGCCCCCCTCTCCCCCCTCATATACTGTTAACATTTCCTTAGAAAATTGAAAATGATGGTTTGTGGAAAATTAATTTGAGTTCCTAACTGTTGACAGGAATAAATCAATGCTCATTATCAATTGCAGAGAGTCGAAAAATTAAACTGAAGGAGAAGGGTGGAAAATATTTATCAATTTCTAACATTGTACGCGGTATCCAGTTGGGAAACAAGTTATTGTAATTCAAATGTACATGAAAAATGGCAAAGTCCAACTTTCAAGGCCACGAACATTAAAGCAGAACTCCCGAGAAATGATTCTTAACCCTTGCAGTAGGGCTGCCCCTGCAGTGCAAGGGTTACATGCTTGTTTCCATCTGGGGAGGAAAATAAAGTTCGCCTTACCCGATGCTTTGAGATGGCCAGCTGCGACAGCGCTCCCTCCAGCCCTCGGCGTCCTTGCACCCTATACACGGTGTATAGGACGTGACGACTCGTGGACCTTCGAGCACTGCAGCGGAGGGGGAGAGAGGCTCCAGGCACCGATCTAAGAGCAAACTGGCTTTTGAAGCTCAGGCGAGTATAACTTTGTTACTTTCAGCCCTAGACTGAAACGAGCAGCTAACCCTTGCAGGGCAGGAGTAGCCCCATTGCAAGGGTTAATTAAAAAAATTCACCGGTGTTCTTTAATTCATTTAAATATGTATAGTAATGAAATGTACGAAAATCAAGGAAAGAATAATGTAAGCCAATGTTTATTTTTCATTTACGAGTGTAGATTTAGAAGTTTATGATAGTATACTGCAATATATCTAATATGTATCCAGTAGGGATGCACCAAAACTCCGTCAGAAAATAGGACCATTTTTTGGCCGAAAATGTTGTGCATGCCTGGTTTCTCTCCTCCTTGCTGGCCGCTGCTCTGTGTCCCAGCGTGGAGGAGAGAACATTTCAGGAGGCTGAGCGGGGCAGGGAGCGATGTCACAGGAGGCTGAGCGGGGCAGGGAGCGGTGTCACAGGAGGCTGAGCGGGGCAGGGAGCGGTGTCACAGGAGGCTGAGCGGGGCAGGGAGCGGTGTCACAGGAGGCTGAGCGGGGCAGGGAGCGGTGTCACAGGAGGCTGAGCGGGGCAGGGAGCGGTGTCACAGGAGGCTGAGCTCTTCACAATCTCAAACTGTGTCCTCACTCTGTTTTTCTATTCCAAAGGGGAAATATCAAGGGTCTGTTTAGACCCCCCCGATATTTTCCCAAAGTCCCCGATGGTAAAGGAACAAAAAGAAATACATATTTTGGTTTCAGTTTCAGCCTGACAATTTTTTTATTTTCAGTTTGAAAATTCTACTTTGGTGCACCTCTATATATTTTCACATCTCTGCACAGAGGCAGAATTTTCCATGCGGATATGAAGAGCAAAGCTGATAAACAAATGTAAATTTCTGTTTTAATTCACATGAACTGCATATGCCTGCTTCATGGACACTTGGTGTACATTGCTGGCATATGTTTTAAAAAAAACACCTGCAAAAGGTGGAAATGGGCTTTACAAGTCACAAGAGAACTTACTTAGAGGTGATTTGCAGACGGTTCTTCCCATGCCGAATGTACAGGGCATTCTATTCCATGTGCCAGTCTCTGGAAATAAAATGGCACAGGAGCTGATGTTTGATGTCTGAGAACCGCTCCAGTTGTTATATTTTATGGGTGATCCATCCAGCCATGATTTCTGATCTGTAGGGACAGAGGAATTGAGTATTAACATATAACAACATTCAAGAGAGACTCCACAGACGTGGTAACTATAGATCGCTAAGGTAACACAATCGCCAACACAGATGCAAACAAGTGACTTCATCGTTATATTAACCCATTTAGAAATACCTTAAAAATGACATTAAAGTAGTGGTCACGTGATAACTGCGGCCCCTTCGTCGCAGCAAGCTGTAGGTAGACTAAAAACAGCTCTGAATGTTTTGACATAATGCTGTTAAACAAATTACAATTTTCTTGCAGGTGATGCAATGGGTGTTACTGTGCAGATTTCATTCTGCTCACCACCTCTAGAAGCAAGATGCACTGTAAACCTAGCAGTCCATAGATCTACAGGGGGTGGGTCCACGACTGCGTGGTCTCACAGGAAGAGGTTGGATGACATGCATCATTCAACCAGGAAGTGAAACATCACTGGAAAAAAAAAAGCAGGACAGAGAAGGAATTCCATCCATTGCTTTCCAAATGTTATATAAAAGCTAATAAACTGGAGTTGTCCTGTAGCTCTTGTGTAATCACATTACTTGTGTGTAACAGTCTTCTCTCCTGCTTTATTCAGAATTGCAGATCAATTGTTCTCCATTACAACCATAGCAGTAAATGGACCAACCTATGATCCGTATGTCCAGACTGAAAGGGGGTGTGTGGGCCGACTCAGACCTGTAGTTCTACGGCAGACAGATTAGGCAGTGATGCAGATTCATGACTTAATGCAGTAATCGACTTTAGATGGCAATTTTAGGTATGTTGAAATTTTAATGGCAGGGTATGGATAATTATATTTTCATGGCAGGAGATATATATATATTTATTTATTTATTACACACACACACACACACACAAGATCTCACCACTTAAGGCCTTGTTCACACCAAGCGCGTTCCAGGAGCAGAGCAGTTACAGATCGGAGCAAAACTCCAATGTATTCCAATGTGTCAGGACCAAGATTCGAGGAGTGATACCTCTTTTTCAAGCTCGAGAAGGACCAAGATGGTCCTTCTCGAGCTTGAAAAAGAGGTATCACTCCTCGAAACGCGTTGCCCACTGCCTTTCCACCCTGCCACTACCCTCTTCCTATCAATGACCTGACTGATAGCTGACAACTCTCAGCCCACGGCACCCGCACACAACCCCAGCCTGCGCCGACAGTGACCGAGCAGCACGAGCCGCAGCCGCGGTCATAGCAGCTCTGCCTGCTTCTGACACCGCTGATTCTTTCCCACACCACTCAGCCCCTGGACTCGCACACGGACTGAGTCCCCATTCCTGTGGTTGATCAAAGGATTTGCATTTCTGTCCACCCAGTGCTGATATTAACCTAGTCCTAGAACTCTGCTCTCTCCATCCATAAGTATCTCCCTTGTTAGCATACGAGCACTACAGTACTGATTGGCTCCTTGAGTTGCTTCTCCCTCTAAGTCCAAGCTGGACTGCAAAAAGGTGATACCAAGTCAATTAGACTGAAAACACGAAGCGCACAGCTCACCCCCAATATGGGTCCCCGCAATCCACATTCGGTGCACAGATTACTCTCTTCCGTAGTAATAGGCTCAAAAACTGTGGAACCAGCACAAGATAAATCTTCCAAAGAAATTCAAACTTTATTCCACATGCATCTGTGCAAAGCACAACCGCTAGCTTATCTTCCAAAGAAATTCAAACTTAAATTCAGACAAAGCACAAACGCTAGTGGTTGTGCTTTGTACAGATGCATGTGGAATAAAGTTTGAATTTCTCTGGAAGATTATCATGTGCTGGTTCCAGTTTTTGATACCAAGTCAATGTTGGGCATTTACACCATTTGAATTAAAAATATATATTTAATGATATATTAACACAGAGCTGCAATAATGTCTGTATTTTATGTCTGCTTTGAGTTCAGCTTTAAGTCTCCGAGAGTAGGTAGTCGTAAAAGAAGCCAGAGACTTATTTAACCCAGAATCTCACTATTAGAACCTCAGGTCTGGAAGGATTGAAGATACCTGCAAATAGTAAGTCCATTCTTGGTCTAGCCATTTACTTACCAGCTGAGTTTGAATCTATCCCAAGCCAAATTCTACGAGTGATAAATGCATCAGCCGTCAGATATTTACTAACAAATTCATTCTCTTCATCGTCATTTATAGTCAGAAGCTTGGCTGAAGAATCTGGAAGACAGACATTTAAAAATTAAAGATGTGCTTGATGATAGCCAGGCGATAGTGCCTTGCACTTAACTTGCAGCATTGTCCACTTGGGCTATGCATGTATTAAACAAAATTGTGTCATGGAGGGGAGGCGACTGTTCATAGCTCCTTTCCCATCAAGTGAAGACGTACACAGGATTTTCAGTTGGGCTAGCAGAATGGGTACATTTATAGGTTCACTTTAAAGAAACTAACAGTTTAAAAGCCCCCAACATCTGCTGGCAGGTATAAAGCCCAGGCAACCAGAGGTACCTGCACATACCCACAGCAGCTTTCATTACCTTCAGCCCAAATGCTGGGCTACTCTAACTTTCAGGTAGTGTCAGAGCGTGCGCAGTCCTTCTCACCCCTCTATAATCCTACTGGCCCATTGCAACCATGCATCGCTTCATTAGCCAATAGTAATGTATAGGAAGCAAAAAGGGAAAGCATGCTTCGGGAGATAGTCTGGTTAAGAAACAAACAACATACTCTCAGATTTCCATATAAACCCAGTTGTGGACACATACCTAAGGTCTGGCACACCTTGCTGGCTTGCTCGCTAGTGTACAAAGAGTAGTTGTACATCTTCACATCAAATGCGTAGCAAAAATCCTTTTGCCGAACCCAGTGCACTGAGCCGTCAGTTTTGGGGCACAGAGGATCAGATGCCGTCGATTTTGGTTTCGCTGCAGTAGATCAAAGAAAAAAAAAGTAGTGCTTCAATGACACTTCAAAGTACTTACTACCGTGTTTCCCGAAAATAAGACAGTGTCTTATTTATTTTTTTGCACGAAATAAGACACTAGGTCTTATTTTCGGGGGATGTCTTACCCGGCTGGGGGAGGACCGGACGAGGTCCCGGAAGGCGGCATGCTGTTGCCGGTCCCGGTGGATGATATTCCGCTTCCATCGTGCGTGCGTGCGTGTGGGCGGGAGCTGCGGCCGTCGGGCGTGTAGGCGGGAGCTGCGTCTGGCGTGTGGGCGGGGCGGAAGCTGCGGCCGGCTGGGGTGTGGGCGGGCCTGTGGGCGGGGCGGGAGCTGCGGCCGGTCTTTAGATTCAAAATTCAGTTTATGTGCCGGTTCCCCCGAAAGTAAGACCTAGCGGATTTCTGTAATATAAGACCTACCACCGAACTAGGTATTATTTTCGGGGTAGGTCTTATATTACAGAAATCCCCGAAGATAGCGCTAGGTCTTACTTTCGTGGTAGTTCTTACTTTCGGGGAAACACGGTAGTTATGGAACTGTAAAACTTTTATAGAAAGACCTATAACCTACCTGCCAATGGTTTATAGCAAAGAGCACCATCCAGGGGTTCTGTGCACCTCTGGGAGAGCCACTTTCCCTTTGTATCAAAATACATGCAGTTTCCACGAGTCAGCTGTGTGTCCAGGTTTACAAATGCATAGTTGACCGAAGTACCATCTGACCATTCTGTTCCTGAGATTGTCCCCTGTTGGTCAAACCAACCACACAAGTTATTGCAGCAGTCCAAAAAAAGAAAACATTACTCCCTTTAGCCTAACCTGCTGCCACAACGCTGATCAATGATCTTTATACAACATAGCTGTGTGTGCACACTGGAAAATATCCAATCATCAGATGTTTATCTGAGTGAGGATCAGTGATCTCCATTTTCATGAACATACCATGTGCACAACCTCATCTGACTGAGATCAAAGTTTACCTTCTGGCCACATCCTGTGGTATGCTGAGAACCCCAAATCATCGGAGAAATTGCTTCTTCGGCGGTATGCTGGAACATCAATTTGAAATATTTGGGGGTACTCAGCTTTTCGCAGAAATCTAGCGGAAAGGATAGCGATGTCACCTCCTTCATTGTGGAAGCCAGGGGTCAGGAGAGTGCATTTTTATTTTACTGCAGCATTTTAGCATAAGCACCAGAGACAGAAGCCGGGGATAACAGAAGTATCCACACAGGTTTTTTTTATAGCTTTACTGCAGCATTTTGGCATGGGCGGGGGCACATGAATAAATAAGTGAACCTTGCTTCTTTACCGCAAGGCCTATTGACATCGTCACCTTGCCCATGCAAGGCAAAGTGAGAATGTTTGTGTAAGAGGCACCCCCCCCAAATTGATACTCATCTTGCCAATGACTGGCGACAATGTACAGATAACATGGTGGCATGCGATGGTGCTGGAGTCTACAAGCCAATTGCTAGGCTTTGGCTCTGTCACAAGACTGAGGAAGGCACATCATTTCTCCCCTTAGTGCCCAACCCCAGCCAACACTAGGGATATTCATGCAGGCTGCAATGAAGGATGAGTAGCAAGGAAGTATCAGTGGGTTGGGGGTGAGGAGGCTTTTACACAGACAGGGTCCCTTTGCCCTGCATGGGCAAGGTGACAGTGTATCTTTAAAGAGAGCCTGTCGGTATAGAAACTGTATGAGTGGTGATTGCCAGATTGTTTTGGAAAGCCTAAGCTCCAGTTCTGTCATTATTGCCTTGCCTATTTATGCAAGTCACTGACCTGGAACACGTGTGCAGCCAGTGAAGTCAGTTTCCATGTCAGCAACTCGCTAAGTAACAACAAGGATGAGGATGACAGCCTTGGAATTTGCATCCTTATACATAAATTAGCAAAGGCAACATGCATATATTTCTATCCTTACAGGCTTTCTATTAACCTCCCTGGCGGTAATCCCAAGTGTGTTCCAGGTTAAATTTTCAGTACCAAAATCGGTAACCCCCGAGCCACACTCGGGATTACACTGTAGCGTCACTTACCTTGTCCCTACAAGCCCCGCTGTGTCCTCCGGCCGATGCCGGCATCCGTCTTCCAGGTTCCTTCCCTTGCGAGCGCTGGCGTCGCAGGGGAGCGGAACCAGCGGGAAATTCAAAAGTAAAAAATGGAAAGAAAAAAAATAAAAAAATACTGACAATCCGACCGCCAGGGAGGGTAGACAGAACACAAATTGTAATGCCACAAAGTGACCACGATACAGAGCCCAGGCATATATAATGATGATAATCACACAGCAGTTCCTCAAAAGCAGAACTTTTGGCACTGGATAGACCCAATCTATAACACACACTTACATCATTATTCCATAACCCAATCCAGAGGGGGAATCCGTCCTGTCTTACAATATGCTCCAGAAAGAGCTGTTGATTGTTATTATGAACACTGGCCAGATTACCATCACTCTGCCTGCACTCCTTTACGGCCTCAAACCATGTCAGTTTCTTCTTCAAAACATAGTATGAGGAATTGGAATATGGTATAGCAGCTGGTAATGGCTTAATGAACTCTTCCCTTGAACCTGAATAAACAGAAGAAAAGCAGTACATATGAATACTATGACGCCAAACAATACACAAGCTTGAAGCAAGCCTGTCATAAAGCAAATGTAGAAATCTAAGATATCAAAACACAAATCTGGCGATGTAAGGAGACTACAAAATCCTTATTTTGTTCTCAAGATGTTACTCAAGCGCCCATACAGAGTAGCTCCAAGCTTGAGAGTTTCCAATTCCCTCTCTTCATAGGTAAAGATTGAACAATGCATTGCAGGATGCAAAGGAAGCACTAGAGCTCAAAGATACTGTAAAGTCTGTATTGAATATTTACTGCATCCAGGTTCAAAGACTCCTGATGTACGCAGGCGAAAGAGGTGTGTGGGTGTGTGTTGAAAGTTATGTGCATACATTTACTTTCCCACGGCAAACATTTAATTCTATCGCCGATATTCTTAAAGAGTCAATATACAAAATGAGTTTTAATTGAAATCAATTGCAAAAGAGCACACTGGCAGCAGGCCCCAGTGGAAGTGATGTCACCATGGGCGCAGTGCAATATCTTGCAGCTCCCTATGGTCCCAATTTTAATGGAGCTTTGTACATTTTACCTGTGCATGCTGGGATTTTCCATAGCATATATTGTGCAGAGAGCCATGCAGATATTCATAGCGGTTCTCCCCTCTGAACAGTAAGATCTCTCACAATATAGACATGTATGCCTAAAAAAAGCGCACTAACCCATGCCAACCAATAACATCTTTCAAAAGTACTCAATGGAATAGGAACCTCCAATTCCAAAATGGTTGCCTTGGGGAGCTGCTCTTTGAATCATTAAGAAGCTTAACACTATTTCAATTAAAACAGGCAAAAAGAAAAAAACAAAAAAAAACTTAAAGCACAGTAACCAAAGCAGAGCAAACAATGTGTCTGCTCCAAAAAGTGAAACTGCTTACTGTTTTTTCATTATGCAACAAACCGCTGAACTGGATGAATTAAAAATCAATACAACTTGCAGTATCGTAAAGATAATTCAATGGTCATCCTCGTGTATCTGATCACAGGAAAGGGAAATAGATCACTTTATCGGATTACTGGAAATTACCAGAATATCACGCCTCCAAACTTACCCATTTCAATCTTGCAGGCCACAATGGAGTGCTGCTGATAGAACATCAGTTCAAAGTCCCTTGGATTGTGAAAGATATCCCAGAAGCCATCATGCTTTATCCCTGCATAAAAGCTGTCACTTGTCACATTCGGCCGCCCTGACCTCCAGTTTGAATATTTCACGATGGTCTCGTCGTGCCAGTGAAAATATTTTTCTAGCGAAGGAAAATGAATGTCACATTCAAAGCAAATACAATATGCATCAAAGAAAGAACAGTAATACCTTGGGAGTTCACCTTCCAGCCATGACAGACATAAAATAAAATGTATAGCAGAGCAAAAATTCTTCATCTTTGTAACATTTCCCCTGCAGGTCTAATGACACAGACAGCCCAGTTTAGAAGGCATGGGGATCAGAAAGCATGCAACAGTCCCCATCACTGATCAGTACAAAGGCAGGAAGACAGGAGCCCATTTTATAGATGAGATTTGTCATGCTGGTTAAGAATCTCAGATACCCTGAACATTTAATTACAGCATTTACATGAGGTGATGTATTGGGAGAAATTTCAGTTTTGCAAGAAAATCAAATTTTAAAGGCAATAGCTAAGGGAGGAAGACATTGAGCCTTATTCTTTCAAATAATTCAAGTTTATATTATTTATTATTTATATTCAAAGATGTGAACTGTACAATTAGGTCTCCTGTATGAAAGTCTAAACAAGTACCAAATCCAGTTACTATGCAATATACAAGCCACGTAAAAGTAAACAAAAACAAACAACAAAAAAACTTCCTGACCGAGCCAAATCCTCCTTCCTGTCTCACACGCTACCCCTCCCAGACCCTGCAGCTCACAGTGGGAGGGGTTCAGCAACAGAGGCAGGGCTGTCAAGAAAGAGGTGGGCAGGACTAGGTGTGGCCAGGTGCTGACTGCCAACCTATAGACTTGTGAATCAGCAGTGAGAAGCCACCGGCAACATCTTTTTTCATCCCACTGTAGTGCAAGCAGACACAACTTACATGAGAGCAACAACTCCGCCATGAATTCCAGGGCAGTGCAGCATTGTTGACTTATAGTTATTAGTTCCCTTGCAAAGTCCCACAAATACCTGTTGATCCTGCCAGTGAAATCTACCTCAAGCAGCATCCTGTGCTGGGGAGACAACACCGCTGCACGTCTTCTGAATTTGAAGCAGCGTTGCCCCTCATGTAGACTGTACCTGCCCGTACTACAGTGAGATGAGAAGATGTTGCAGGGGGCGTGTCTATCCGCATTGCCTTTTCTGATTCATAAGCCTGTAGTATGTCAATTAGTTGCTGGCCATGTTTAGCAATGACCAGTGTTTTCCGGATTGGCAGAAATGACTGTGCTGCTGAAACCAGTGTGAGCTGCAGTGTCTGGGAGGAGGAGCGTGTGAAATAAAAGGAGGACTTGGCTGACTCAAGGAAGGTAACATGGTTTCTTTTTAAATCACATCATAACTGGATTTTAAACCTGTTTAGGCTGCCACATGAGAGCCCTTGGAGTCCTTTAAGAGCTGCAGCATATTTTTTTTATTGGAATTTCATAGTTCTAATTTAAAGCCCATTTTAGTCCTATGTACTTCCATATTATTTGCTCGTTGCCATTGAAGCACTAGCAGATTAGCATGTAGAAGAATTGGGCATTGCAAAATCAGCTGACACTCAGCACCACAGGACATCTCTGTGACAATGTTCTGTTCTACAATTTGATTCCTGGCACACAAGGCAAGACTTAGTTGGTAGTAAAACCTCTTTATTCTGACAACCTAGTGTAATAAGTCTCTGAAAAAACGCCATTTGGACTGACTGTTGTCAGTCCTATCACCTCATGTTGATGCATTGGTCATGTAACTTCAGCCAAAACGGGAGGATCAGTCTTAGCAGGCTCTCCCGGAACATATGTCCCATTTGCCCATTCATCGGAGATTGGGGACATGACCAGCACTGGAAAGGGGCACGGAGTAGTGCTTCATAGAAATTAGTATTTAAAAACATATTCTGTAATCTATTATGACACTGCAGCAGGCTATCGGGATTGTTCCAGAATATTTTAAAAGCCATCTTATGACAGTGATACAAGTTATAGCAAACCCAACCACTTGTGCCAACATACATGCAATCAGATGGCAATGCCATTACACATACATATCACTAGGGATGCACCGATACCGATACAAGCATCAGTATCGGCGGCGATACCGAGTATTTGCATGAGTACTCGTACAAATACTCCAATATTTTTTTAAATGTCCCCGGGAACATAAAATAAAACCTTTTTTTTTTTTTAATACTACTCATCTGATTCCTGGATCCAACAAGTGCAGCCTCCCATCTCCCACGATGTTCAAAGTTGCATACAGCGTGTGCTGGTTACTACTTAAACCGGCGCGCGCAGTGTGCAGCGTCTAAGAAGATACGCTATTAGCGTAATTACCGGCATATAGTATTAAAAAAAGAGAACAATAACTATGTAGATATTGCTAACTAAGGCTGGTATCCCACTACTGGTCAAAATAGATGAGCACATGTCCAGACTGCAGACCAGAACACAGTGTGGCACAGCTATATAGTGGTATCGGTGCATCCCTACATATCACCTTACCATATCCATCATAACGCATCCCCAGCCACACCCATTTGGCTAAGTCCATGTAGGGTTTGAGCTGCTTATATATAAACTGATTTTCCTCCTCATCTCGGATGCTCAAGGCGTAAGCGTCAGGATCTGCAAAACAAGGATGTTTGGTTATCTCCAGCAGAGCCAAACTTGCTAATAAGGAGTTCACTGCTAAACGTTTCAGTGCTATCCTCCGTCATTCCAAACGACACACCTTTGTAGATTACACATGGAAGTTTTAAAATTATTTGGCAGTTTCTATTTTTTGTCGCAGTGAAGGGATGCCCATGAAAAGCTGCAAATTGTAATTCTAGCTATACATCTACAGGCACATATGAAATACATAATCTGTATATAGGGATGGAATTCATAGGCAATAGACATGCAATTCTGCCCTGACAGGTTGGTGACCACATTTTCATCCACAGAATTTAAGCAATAACACTTGGTCACCAACTTCCTCTTAGCCTGTGTCTGGATAAGAGGCTGAACACTGCAGAGATGATCCCTCTCCTCTAAATGTCAGCACCATCCTCTTCTGCCCATAAGCATGCAGTTGAGCCTCTAGGCTGCGTATGCTGACCCGCTGGCATGTATGCGGACTCGCTGGCCGCATCTTCAGAAAAATCAATGATTGCATACATATATCCTATAGTTGGTTATTTTACAGTTTAGAGCAGCAGTGCACGATGTGGCAGTGCCTTGCCATAGCCATTCAAATTTAGCATACATTTGCAAAGGTACACAACCAAGCCCTTGTCCTAGATATAGGCAGGTCCTCTTTGCTGACTAGTAGTGAAAGTGCTGGGAATATTTTTCTTTCTTGTTGTTTGGCCACAATCCTATCATGTACTGCCCAACTAAGCTTTAAAAGTAAACCTGTCACAATTCTGAGCAGGTCAATCTGAGAATATGATGAAAACATAAGTAAAAGCTTTCTTCTGAGATACAAGTAGCTAAAGCTATATGCAAATCCTGACTTTTCCTATAAACTTTAAGATTGGTTCAACCCTCTAATGTGCCTCTCCATTAGTTACTAGAAGTGCCCATCACCCTCTACTGTTGACTCTTAGACATGCATTATTTACTGCCACTTGTCTCATTGCACGCAAGTGGATCTCACCGTTCCCTCCTACGGTCTCTAATTGGATGACGGAACTTGATAGAATTATAGAATTCGAATGCATTACCTATCAGTCCAGGGGCTCAGTACACAGTTTTTACCCAATATGGTCCAAATGGTTATCTTTTCGCCCTTTTGGGATGTCTACTTGATCTTCCTCCTGAATGCTGCCAGCCCTCGCCCCATTCCTCTCTCATGGTGGCCGTACTATTCTGCTTGCCTGTGTGTATCCAGTGTTGAGGCTACATCAACACCCTTCCCCCCCCCCCATTTGATTAAGCATAGAGAGATATGTATATCCCTGTGGTGGGGGTTCACTGCTTTTTATTTTTTGTTCTTTTTTCTTTTATTTCTGTATTCCTATGGTTTTATATTGTTTTGCTCTTTACATACGGTTTTTTGTACCTGCTTAAAACCAAAAAATGTCAATAAATACTATCTGATTTAAGAACTGCCCATCACCTTGAAGGACCAACAGGGTGGTTTAAGAGGTGGAGGGGAGCCAAGCTTGACCTAAATAGGAAACTTTGAGATTTGAAAATACATATTTTTCCTAATTTACAGAATTTTTTATAAAAGGATAACCTTTGCTTATTCTAAATAAATGTTAAAAAATCCCCAAAAAACAAAAGGCCTTGTGATGTCATACGTAGGGAATGGCAAATGTATCTATGTTCATCCGAGGGCCATCTTTTGTGGTTCAGCAGGAAAGCATAGCAGTTGTTCCTGTGCGGGATCCACACTACATCTTGAACTTTATGAGGACAATGGACGGTGTTCTCTTCGGGTTTCTTCTCAGTCACGTCTGCAAAGTCCATACAGGACAATGAGTTGCTTAGTCTTTATAGCCATATATCAGACAAAAAATGCATACAATAAAACGGATGCAGAGTGCAGACTGTACTTCTCGTTCACACCTAGGCGTATTGCATATGCGCTTCTGTCGCGCATTTTTACCGTGTCGCGCGACCGTCGCGCGTTTCCGAAGGCTACTTGGCTGTATCCCAATGGAAACGCGCAACAAAACGGCCCCAAGTAGTACCTGTACCTTTTCAGGCGTGGGCCGTTTTGTCGCGCGTTAGGGACGGGCGGAAATACGCCAAGGTTGGAACGAGACCATTGAATACAATGGTATTTATTTTTTTGAGCGTTTTGTAAAGCGTTCGTCGAGCGTAGAACGCGCTACAAAACGTTCAGGTGTGAACGAGGGCTTAGGACCAATAGCTCTAATAACTAACTGGTTTCCAAAAACTGTGCTTTCAGGTAATGGTCGTATTCAATATTTGTATTTTTCAATTTTTAAGTCCCTATTTAGACTTTCCCTCCACATTTACATGCAGGCCAAACTGTCCAGTGACACGGGCTCGGACAAGCTATAACACTATCAACTGTACTTTCATTGCTTACTTTTAATTACTGTGGTTGTGATCTTCTGTATGCGGGGAATAAAACAACCAGGAGTGCTTTGCCAATTGCAAGATTTAAACCACAGGAATAATAATGCAGCCCATAAAAATACAATAATTATACATTTCGTTTACGCATTTGAGATTGTAGTCCATCAAGGGAACAAAAGTAGCCACCCTCCAGAAGGAAGGACAGTGTCGGCACCAATTCAGAGATGATTTGAGGATTTACAGCCGAATGATACAGAAATAAGATTTATTTTTGTTAATAGTTAAAAGGAGAACTGTGAGGTAAGTGTTTTCCCCCATAGTTCTCTTAAGAATCACGGGAGGAAATAAACTATCGTCCTCCAGTGACCCAAAGCTCTGTATACCGCCAGCTACAGCTCGCGGTATACGGAGACCGCCACAACCAGGACGGATCCCGACATTACTGTCGAGATGCACCCAGCTGCGGGATTGACAGCTGGCTCTGCCTATCTAGAGGCAGAGCCAGCTGTACCCACCCCCTCCCCCATCTGTTCAGCCAGTCAGCGCTGGAGGATCGGAGCGGGGAAGGGGGGAATGAGTGACAGTCACCGCTCTCTGCAGGGAGATGATCGAGAAGTGAGCGAGCGACGGTGTGTTCCCTCACTTCCCGATCTATTGAGCCGACATGTGATAGTTTAATTGTCACAGTTTAATTGTCACACTTCGGCTCGAGCTATGAGGCTGAGTGATTTTCACTCTCCTCATAGTTCTCCTTTAAGGTCCTTGAATGTATTTTTAAAGATTATCCTTTGTTTAAATCATTTACAATTTGAAATTCATGTATGTAAATAGCAGAGCTATTACTACAGTCCTGGAATGGTACTTTGATGGGGGCGCAATACATAACTATGCACATGTTTTCTGTGCATTTTATGCATGTTGTGGTGTCAACAGGCCCCGAAAAATCGATATGACTTGAGCCACCACATCGAAGGACTGGTAAGCTGCCATCTATTACATTTTCACACTTGAATTTAGTTTCACTTCTAGAATAACCAAGGTTTCTCAGTCTTTCATCATTGCTAAGGTGCAGCTATTCAGAGTAAATAGAAGCCAGCGCAAAAACAATTTTGGAAACTATCTAAAAAACACAAAAAATAAAACCAAAAAAAAAAAAAAAGAGGAAATCTTACTTGCTACTTCATGACAAATCACCCCTGGCAGCTCAGCATCACAACTCTTTGTTTTCCACGTGCCGTCAATATCTATATAAACGCAATCTTCATCCTCTTGCTCATCCTCAGCCCACCGGTTTAGGGTGACTGTGCTCCCATCCTGCCATCTGTAGTGGATTCCATCCTGGAGTCACGGGGCAGACACAACAAATAAATGAAAAGTGAAGATAAAGTGTTTGTAAAGACATAAAACTTACAAATAACTAATAAAATGTAAACTAAATATACAGTGATAATCTACTTGGATCTCTGTCCACACAGCCACATCATCCATTCCTTTCACAGGACTGGTGATTGGAAGAACTACAAGTTCCATTTGCCACTGTGATGGCACCACACTTGTAGTCCACTCACTCATTCTCCCTCCCATCCATCCATGTTACTGAATGGCCATACCTCAGTACGGACATGGACAGGAGGGAGAATCTGCCGGAGCCAGAGCATTGCACCCACGATCCATTGATCATAGTTGCAATGCTTTACTGGCTCCAAACAAAAACATGCATGCATAGTTCTCCTTTTATGAATATGTGTGTAATTATTTTTTTTAATGGACTTTACCTTTAAGTACCTGAATTTGACCTGGTATCAGCCTCCTGCAATTCCTGTACAACAGACATCAAACAAGAAGAAGCAGCACAAGGAACCAGTCAGCTGTGCTGCAGTGCTCATGTGTTAACAAAGGAGAGCAGAGTGATGAGCTCATCAGTGTGCTGCTTCTCATGTCACTGTCCATTCACATGCTGGTGGAGGAACAAAAGCTGTATATGTCACCTAACTGCAGCAGAGGAAAATCGGGTCTCCTGTCCTGCCAGACAGGGCTGTGTAAATCTAATAACGGGATGGACAGAAATACAAATTCTTTGGCATGTAAATATATATTTGTATTTGATCTGTGTGTTTAGCTGTTTTATAGAATTCAGTTTTAAATAGGATTATTAATACCCATAACAACAATGCTTAAAATCCTCATTAACTATTAAACACATTCAAATAATACAAATCTGCAACATTAAAATTAAATGAAGACTGTCATAGGAGAAGTATAGGGGCTGCCATTGTTGGCCTCCTTCTGAAAATGCCAGCTGAGTGCCTCTCATTGATGTTGTTCTACAGGCTTTAATGATTTGATCATGAAAGTCAGAGAAAAGTGGAATGTCCAGTAACTTAGAAGATATGGAAGAGGGTCAGTACGACAGCCAGAAAACGAGCATTTTGAGAACGAGGGCTCAGAAACAGCAGCCTTCATGCTCCTTTAATAACAGGTTCCTTTTGCCAATAGAGCACTTACATCCCTGCTAGAGAGTCCAATCCAAAATGGCCGACCCGCCTGCTTAACAGTGACGATGAGAAAGGAGAGCTGGTATTGGTCGGTTATACTGACTAGTTCCATATTTTTGCTTCTACATTCTTCCAAAGCCTTGTACCAAGTCATGTCCTTCTGAAGGATTTTATACGTCTTCCATTTGTAGGTCACATCTTCTGGTACAACTGTTGGCACTGTGTCCCCATTCTTATCTGGAACGATTGAGGGAGGAAAGAAAGACTTAGTGGTTGTAGAAAGGTCTCCATCTCCTTCCCAGTAATCAATCAGCTTCCCCTTTCTTTACTGCTACGGCAGGATAGAACACGGGAAGGAGACATTGGTCAACGGGAGACAGACTATTCTTTAGTCATGCATTTATAGCATATGAAAAAATACCCTCAAATCAGTTTAAAAGGAGAGTGTTAAAGAGTGTAAGCGCCAAAAATAATCTTACGCCATGCAGTTTTTTTTTTGCAATGCACTATTTTTATAGAGATGTCTACTTACAGCGACTGTCACCACAAGGTCACAAGTACATATACAAGAATACTGGATGGCCGTACACCAACTATATCCAGTAACAGAAGTCACCAGCACTCGAAAACATTTGCAAGAAGTACATTTATTGAACTGTCACAGGCGTCATTTACCTTAGCTCATTTAGTGCCCGGAAGCTGGGAGTTGTGTGTGGAAGATGGCGTGCTGCTAGGTAAGATGATTTCTATACTTTGCAGTAACCCTCTGCACACAACACCCAGCGTTTAACCCTTTCGCTGCCAAGGACGTACGGCATACGGAGCTACAAAAGTGCTTCCAGCTGGCCATCTCAGTATGCCGTACGGACCTGGCATTTACAGTTCTAATATAAGCTGATGGTATAGAAGCTGATGGTATAGAACTGTTCAGCAGATTGTCCCCTTTAAATTAATAGCTGTCATCAGCGGCTCACAAGCCGCTGATGACCACTATTTTCAAAAATACCGGGCGCCCCGCCGGCATCTGGAGTCTCTCATCCCTCCCTGGAGCCATCCCAGGGAGGGATGAGAGGCTCCATAGATCCCCGCTGCTTGTAGGGTCTGTGGCAGCGGGGATCCGTAAAAAAAATCACCGGCGGGGGGGTCCCGGGAACGAGCGGCGGCTGGCTGCAATTCAGGATGGCCGAGCGGTGTTCAGATCCGAGGTCCTCCTGTCAGTTTTTGGATGACAGCGGCTCTGTGTAGCGTGGCCGAGTGGGGGATCGTTAAATATCAATGATATTTAACGATCCCTCTGTGCAGAGCAAACACCGGAGTGATCGTCTGATCACTCCGGTGTTTGTAAATAACTAAAAAACAAATTAAAATTAAAAAAAAAAAAATGTAAAACAAAATAAAAATGTAAAAAAAAAGCTAATAAAAAAAGCACAACCCCTCCCTCGCCCCACATAACACACACATATTGTGGTGCACACCATGCACATGCGCTGCAGTGCGTTAGAACGCATCGCAGTGCATTATCTTTATTTTCTTTAAAAAAAACATTAAATTAACTGTGGCAGTGCATGGCAAAGCTTTGTGACTCATTGCCATGCGTTGTGATACCTTGTGTTGCAATTAAATATACACCTGTATCATTTTATCACAACACAAACACCAAAACAATTTTTTACATAAGTCGATTATTTACAGTTTTGCATACCTTCATTTTTTTACCTTTTCGCAGAAAGGCGCAATTACAAATTTGCTAATATTTGTTATTTATTAACTCAATACAGTTTTATCTTTTAGATTTAGTCAGAAAATATTTTTTTTTGTGCACGGATACTGATTTTGGTGTGTTTTAACAATTGAATTGTGTATTTTTATCGGTTTAATATTAATTTGAGAAACATTTGCGCAATTATCGCAGGGCCTACAAATTTAGTATCACCATCTTTTTATTCTACCGGGCCTGCGCTTTCAGAAAATATATGGTTTGGGGGGTCTTTTACAAACGCTAGCAACGCAGCAGTTGAAAATCAAAATCAATAGGAAAAAATTGCAGAAAATTCAAAAATGGCTTGGCCAGCTGATTTGAAAAATTTTCTGGAGGGCTTGGCAGCGAAAGGGTTAATGATAATTTACACACCCAGTGTGGTGTGTGATTTATCATTTTGCCCAGAGTGTGGCTTTAAAAACATCAAAATTATAAAACTTCTATATAATCCAAACACAGGAATGAATACTAGGGATGCACTGATATATCGGCAACCGAAACATAATCGGCCGAAAATTGCACTTTTGGCAAAATGCAGAAAGTGTAATTTTTTCTTCCAAAATAGCGGTGCATCCGTTCTCTCTCCTCCCTGCTAGGCGCAGCTCTGTGTACCTGTGGGGAGGAGAGAAACTGCCACAGGTGGCTGAGCGATGCGGGAGGAGATCGATGTGAGCTGCCGGCGTCTCTCCTGTCACAGATCGGGAGAACGCTGTGGGGGTGGAGACAGCCAATGCTGTCACAGAAGGCCAGCTGGCGGTGCGGGGGAGGAGTCAGCTGTCAAATCGAGCTCCCCTCCCCGCATCACTCGCTCAGCTTTCTGTGACAGCTGTCAGGATGGAGAGCGAGTACAAACACTCAGTGATCGCTAAGTGTTTGTAAATAATTGGAGACATGGTATGTTTACTATATCCCCAATTATGAATGAATGGGAAGTGACCTACATCACCTCCTGTTCATTCACGATTGTGGATATAGTAAACATACTCTGTCCTCAGGTTATGAATCAACAAGAACACTCAGTATAGAGGCTTCTTGTTAATTTATAACAGGGGATGCAGAAAAAGAGATTGAGGACTCTGTGTTCTCAATCTCTTTTTCTACTTAAAAAAGGGAAATATCAGAGGTCTGTTTAGACCCTCAATATTTCCCCAAAGCCCCTAAAAAGTAAAAAATAAAAATAAAAATTTTACAAAATGTAAAAGTTTATAAAAATAAATAAAATATTTGAAAAAGTTAAAAAAATAAAATTTTCGGTTTCGGGCCGACATTTTTTTTCATTTCAGTTTTGAAATTTTAATTTCGGTGCACTTCTAATGAATAATCTATGTAATAATATATACAATGAATTGTTTGATCGCTCACACGCTATACACTCACATACCACTTCTAGCTATTAATTATCTATATACGATAATTCATATGGTTTGCACTGGAACCCTAAGGCTTTCTGCCTTTATTAATCCTTTATGATTTGGTTATCTTGATTTACACATCCTTCTACGGTTTGAATCGTTTTCTGACCGTTTAATTACACACTATATATGAGACATAGGGGTCAAAGTCTATCCTACGGCTGGACCTCTTTTGATCGATTACCCATTTCCTATTGTATTGTAATTTACTGTATTTATTTAACATAATATTTTTGGGTTATGTTTGCGCTAGTTAATATTCTAGTCGTTTTTTTAATTCTACCCTTATTAGCAAGCTCAACGAATAGCTATAGACTGCTTAATTAATTTATCCTCTTGATGTTCTAATTTACTCCTTTATGAGACTCACTCATTTTTATTATCAGATTTTATACTTGTTTTATCTTAACGGATGCCTAGCTTTTTTTGATTTATTTGCTGATTGGTTGTCTAATTAAAATCAATCACTAGAACACTTATATACCAGCATCCACCCCATTACCTGACATCTGCCTTTTTTTTAAACAGTCGAAACGCATCAAAAAGGCAGAGTCATTCGCACAAAATAGTGGTTCTTGAGCTGCTTTCCGGCTGGACCTTTTGTATTTTACATGTGAGTTATATATGTTTTAATAAACCTGTATGCTTTTACCTACTTTACCATGAGGGCTCTTTCTTCTTGATTTTAAAACATCGCGGGGATCTTTGAGAGATGGTTTGCTGATAGTGCATCTAGGAGAAACCACCTCTGTGTACGCTGGACATCCCCAGCACTGCATAGAATAAATTCCCTCCTGGCCAAGCTTCAACGCGGGAAGAACCGTGTTTGAATTGGAGTATGATCGTGGACCTGATTGCTGCTAATCCATAAACTTGTTTACTCACTGCATTCTGGTGAGTACCCATCTCTAAAGGGGGCCGCTGATAGAATCGAAAAGGATCAATATTATCCATCGTGTTTTTCTGACTTTTAGACATTTTTTCCATCCTTTGATATATATATATATTTTTTTTTTTTTCTTCAAGACTACCACTAATTGATAGATTTAGATTGACAAAAACTTTTTTGCTTGTTTCGTTTGTCTATCTGGATTTTTATTCATGGATCACTGATTGATTATTTAATGTAACAAATTCACTATTATTTTGCTTCATTTGTTACCATTTTCACTTGTCACGATCTTTCACATATGTGTTATTATTAGATCTCTGGTTTTTGCTTTCTTAGCGACACAATTTAATTTTAGATATTTATTGATATCCAACACTTTAGCTGTTATATATATTTTTTGTTTAGTTTTATATTATAACAATTTATCTTGGGGTTTCTCCACAGGCTGTGTTATACTCGCAGCTCATTCCACACATTTTTTATTTAACACTCAATGTTTTTAATGTGATTAATTCACTCATTTGCTTTTCTATATCACCGATTACACGAGTACACTTCTCATCAATTCAATTAAATTTAACCTTTAGTGCTATAACACTACCCTTTCGTTCATCTGAAGGAGATGATGTGTTCATTATTTGTAATTTTGCAGAAAAAAAATCATCAAAATGTAATGCAAAATAAAAAACCTTAGAGCTCATTAACACTACATGACGACCCACGTTTTCCTCAGTGAACAAATGCAAGCCACTGTTAAAGCACACACAAAAAACCCCCCAATAAAACATGTTTCTACATGCCCTATCAAGGTGCACAAAAGGACACACATCAACATGCACACAGAAAACCATTTTTCTCCATGCCCTATCAACCTGTACAAACTTACGTCAATACCAATAGGTTTTTTGTGCACCTCTATAGTGTGAATGGGCCCATGTGAACAACAAAATGGATAGTGACGCTACGTACTGAAGCCAGAGAGCCAGCGTGACAAGACTGGCAATTAGAATTTCTATAAGGAGAGGTTACCGCGACGGCTTCCATGTTTTTCCCATGACAGGTTTCCTTCAAAGGAAAGCCACAAGCAACGTTCCTACCTCTGGTTTTCTGGCACAGTGTCAAATACTGCGAGTCTGAGCAAGCTGTGAAATCCCATGTTCCAACAAACGATGACTTTGGATCATTCAGGAAAAACACGCACTGTTGGTTTTTCTCCTTATCATATGGCTGCACGTGGGGGGAAAAAACAAAACCAAAAAACAGTTATATATAGCAAGAGAAAATAAAAATCAGCCCTGGATAAAACCAAACCTTCAAGATATAAACATGCTACGTACATCAAAGTCAAACCTCTTGAATCTTCCCTGCAGCAGCGGGTTGAAGTTTGTGTAGGTGACAGGGGAGCCGTCATTCCAGCTGTTTTGAGCGGTGTTCAAAGCGAGCCGCAAACCGATCCAAAACTTTTGAGTTAAGTTTGCACCTAAGTAGGTGATGAAATCTACAAAGAGAAAACCAAAATGACAGAAAAAAAATAAATCTCAAGATTTGCTGGTAAATTTGGACTTTTAAATGAAAATACAAATCATGGGATCTAAAACCTTTCTTGTATACAAGTAAAATGGTGGCTTTGTGGTCACCACTGATGTTGCAGTGCTGGGCTACGGAGTTAAATTATCACCAGGAACACAACCTGCATGGGAGGTATACTCTCCTTTTTCTGCCGTGGATTTTCCCTCCCAAGAGCCTGCCTGCACAATGTGTGTAGGGAAAGGGCTTTTGGGAGATACAGTTCTGGGGGCATGCCTACATCAATAAGAACTGAACTCCCAGTAGTTGTACCTGAAATTATTTTACAAGCCTGGTTGAGAAGTGGAAAAAAAGGTTTGGGGGTAAATTTGGGTAAAGCCTGCACATACAGGTTGCAGTGGAGTTGCCCCTGCACTGCAAGGATTAAGTGCTTGTATGTGTCTAAAGGCTGTAATAAAGCAGATATACTCACGCGATCCTCGGTCGCTCTGGGCTGCTACACAAGCCCCCACAGCCTCTTCTCCCTCTTCTCTGGCAGTCTAAGGACCGCTGACATCACATCACGTCTACTACAGGTCCATTGACTTACATTAAATGTGAGGATGCCGAGGGAGTCTCCACAACCAAAGCAGAGTGCGAAAGAGGCGAGTGTAGACTGCTGTGGGACCCAGGATCAGGTGAGTAAATATGCTTTAATTGAGCCCCCTAGACAAAACAAGCATTTAGCCCTTGCATTGTGGGGGGTAGATCCACTGGAAGGGTAAGTTTGATAAATTCCCAGAGTGTTGGGAATGTACGCTGGGTGCCCCCTTTTGTTATCTGTGAACAAAATAAGGCAGGACAAAATGATCACAGCATAAAGCAATTGTCCTTGCTTCCTGAAAACAAAGAGGTATGTTGCAGCAAGGGACTATGGAGTTATGCTGCAGGATACAGTGTTTAGGTCATTGTTACCCATAAGACTCAATCCCAGTCAGTTAAGTGGCATTTCCAGTCAGCTTTTCCTGCAGGACTAATTTAATTTTCTTTATTTTAGAGATTAGAGATATATATAACGCAAAATTGTATACTTACCTATCGGTAATTTTCCTTTCCTGGCTCCAAACCATGGCAGCATACAATGGGTATGGCTCCGCCCCCAGCCCAATCACAGGACCAGTTATACTATAAATTAAAGCCCGCCTCCCAAGGCCACCATTCTCGTAACAAGTACTCAATGCGAAAGCCATGGGAGGGTCAGGATTCTACTGAAGAGTAAATTCTTGGGCAAGTCCTTTGTGTCTCAGAGGATTAATATATAGTGGGTACTGATACCCAAGTACACATTGCTTGCTGAAGGAAGTTCAATATATCCATCATGGCAAGGTGAAAGAGAGACAAAAGCATACATCTATGAGCAGACACCAAATCTTTGCAACAAAATATCATCCAGTTGTTCATTGAAC